CATATAGTGCATTCTTTTGGGAGTTTTCTCGGTTGTTTAGAGCCATTTACAAAATGATTGTCATCTTGATAAAACTTGAGGAAAAAGTTTATACACTATTTTGTATTTGAAATGGCTGTTGATATGTTTTCTCCTATAGAAAACAAATTTATGACTTAAGAGTTGAATTTGAGTTGACTTTGAAGTTTAATTCCAACTCAACTTGAATTTGAGTTGAATTTGGAATTTTAATAAATATTTTCCCTGAATGATTTCATTTCTCCCTCATAACACTAGGTTGTAAGAAAGAATTTTCTCATGTTATAAAAAAGAAAAATGGAGGCTATCAGACTAAAAGGAGAATTGGGAGTCATTTGTATGTCATTTTATTAAAAATCCCCTGCCTCACTGCATTCACTACCACAAAATGTAAAGCAGCTATGACAATAGCAGTAGGAATTCACAGTCAATGGATGGAGAAATCCTTTGGTGTTAGGTCATGGTAGGTCAAGCAACTGGCTTTTTTAGAGTGCTGTCTTAATTTTGCTCTGTGTCTAATTGTTGTCATTGAAATACAGAAAGGCTTTTTTTCCTGGAGACTATCATTATCTGCTTTCTCTTTCACTTAACGGTTATTTAGGGAGCAAACATATAGTGTGCGTCTAGTGCTGGGCTTTTGAGCAAAATGACAAAACTGGTTTTATAAAAGCTTATGTTCTAGTTGTAATGGTTACAATTTTCAAATCTTTTCAACAATATCAAGCAATGACAGTTGAAGAATAAGTAAATAGCTGTGTTTAGAAAATGATCCAATATTTTATCCTTAGGAATGGTCACAATATTATCGTTTTTATAAGCAACTCAAGTGATTCTGATATTCACACTGATTTTTCAGAACCAGTGTGTTTGTCCAGTTTTCTTTTATGCTATGTTCTCCCCAAATCCTAACTTCCATAACGGGACAGACTCTTCTGGGTCTTGCAATGTTCAAACATATTTCCTGCTTCCTGTGCTTGGGACACTCTGGGCCTGACTATGCTTTTCTGTTTTGTTAAACTATAAGTTGCAATTTAAATATCATTTCCTCAAATGACCTTCCCCTTTTACCTGATTTATTGCAGGCCTTTCTATGGCACTCAGAATTTTTTTCCTTCATAAAATGATGAACAATTTTACTCATATTCTATTTGTATTTTTTAAGTCATATATTCAGTTTCTCTTTGTTTTCTGATAAACATACTCAATAAACATTCAGTAAATGTAGTGCTGGATATTTATGTACTTTTTCTCAATGATTAATAAGTAAAGAAATTGATGTCATTAAGTGAACAAATATTTGAATGAATGTACTTTTACATTACTCTACAAAGTATGTACTTTTGCATTACTCTACAAAGAATGTACTTTTACATTACTCTACAAAGAACGTACTTTTACATTACTCTACAAAGAACATACTTTTACATTACTCTACAAAGAATGTACTTTTACATTAAAATTTTCAGAAAACATGTTTTAGTAATGTCTGTGTTACCTGAAATTCATTTAACACTAGAACACACTATTGGTTAAAATTCACAGTTGGAATATGATTAAAATATTTTAGGATTTTCTCTTGATCATCAGAAGTGAAGCAATGAAATTCTATTTCCATTTGATAAAATTATTATTTTTATTATAAACTCTGAAAACTTAAAATATTATCTGATTTTTTCTTTATCATTTTAATGTTCATACAATTAAATGCATTTTATGTTAGTGGATTTTCATATGATTCTTGTAAAAGAGTGATCTGAACGAGGTCGAGAGATCTAGACCAACCTGGTCAGCATGGTGAAAACCTGTCTCTACTAAAATACAAAAAATTAGCTGGGCATGGTGGCGTGTGCCTGTAATCCCAGCTACTCAGGAGGCTGAGGCAGGAGAATTGCCTGAACCCAGGAGGCGGAGGTTGTGGTGAGCCGAGATCGCGCCATTGCACTCCAGCCTGGATAACAAGAGCGAAACTCTGTCTCAAAATAAAAAAAAACCTTAATAGTTAAAGTTTTTCTATTCAGACCATCTATTACTTATTTAAAACCTTGGTTCTACTTGTTATCTGTTAGTTCACGTTAAATCAATTTATTTAACATTTTTAAAAAATCCTACAAGTTTACAAAGACTTGTCACAACATGTTTGTCCTTGCCCAAAAATACATTTGCTCTCCTTATATTAATTTTTCATTACCAAGTTGCTGCCTTTTTGTTGCAACTTTATTATTTTTATTCTGATAAGTGATGCAATAATAAAAAACTTTAAGTATTAATCTTAACAATGAAGGTAATGCCATCTTCTAAATTAAATTGTGATATAATATTTTCATCTCATATCCCCAAATGAGTACCCCAGATGTCAAACTTTATCATCTAAAATTTGACCCTTAGGTTATTATATTTAATTGGTAAATGAGGTCTAGTGCCAAGAATGTAATTTTGGTTTCCTACATTTTAGAAGCCAGAGCATCTCTTAGATTTGGGAACAGAACATTTTCTACAAGAATGGTACAATTATATATATATGAAAACGCAGTTTTTAGGCTTTTATATCATAATTTATTATGGTATAAAGGATATTATTGAAGTCTAACATTTTTCTAAATGTTGACTAAGTTGGTGGTTTTTTAGAATTTAATGTCATAGCAACATACGTTATAGCAGTATATTATTAATTACGTTGCAATCAAGCCACTTAAAATTAACAACGTAAAAACAAGTAATTTAGAATTTTTATCCTTTTGAGATAGTTTTATAATGCCTCATACTTTGATCATCCTAAATGGACTGCAAGGAATTTTGAATAGTTGACACTATTCCATCCTTACAATACCACAAATATGGCATTTGTACTCTTGTATTTTGGTACTATATGTATGGTGTTACTAATTTTGCAAGGAAAATAACACAATAAATGTCTTTTCCAGAATTAGACAATGAGTTGTGGTGGAACAAGGACTAGATTCTAAAAGATTTTCTACTGTAAAGAGTTACTCCACTGTATAGATTTATGCCATAAATTACATTGACATCTCGATAGCCATATGCCCAAATTTATGAAAGAAATATACATTTAAAAAAGTTATTACCACAGTGTGTCTCCTTTAAACAGTACATTGCTACACAAAGTGCCTTCTAATTACTTTGATTAATTTCACTTCTCAGAAATCTTGTCAGATTAGATAATAAATTGTCCACATTGGGGCAGTTGAATTTACCTAAGTTTATCCAGAAAATAAACGGTGAATTCAGATTAGAATGCATCGCTCAGGATTAGAATTTAGAGCAAAAAAGCTACTAATCACTTCTACTCACAATGTCCACCAAATAAAATCATAGCAGACAAATATAATTGCACCTCATAATAGTGAGCATTTAAATGTAATAAAATTGTAGAAAATAAATACATTTTATATTGCCTCTTTAAAACATAAAAATGTTAAAATAATAAAAACTGACAATGATGATTTCCAGATTCATCCATGTCCCTGCTAAGGATGTGGGACCGCATGTTATCACTCATAAGTGGGAGTTGAACAATGAGAACACATGGACACAGGGAGGGGAATTTCACACACTGGCGTCTGTTGGGGGTGGAGGGGCTAGGGGAGGGATAGCAGGGGTGGGGAGATTGGGGAGAGAGAACATCAGGAGAAATACCTAATGTAGGTGATGGGTGATGGAGGCAGCAAAGCACCATGGCATGTGTATACCTATGTAACAATCCTGAAAGATCTGCACATGTACCCCAGTACTAAAAGTATAATAGTTTTTTAAAAAAACTGACCAAGGGAGATATTAAAATTATCTTAAATCAGAATTTCCAGAGTAGGCTTCTGGACATTGGTAGCTATAAAAATCTCCTCATGTTGGTACACCATGCAGCCTTGGTTGAGAGCAATGGGAAAAGGGCAGAGGTTGACAAAACTTTAGTGTAAAGGACCACGAAGTGAATACTTTGGGCTTTACAACCTATGATCTCTCTCTCAACAGCTTAGCCATTGTATGTGAAGGCAATTATATGCAAAGTGTGAAAAAATGAGCACGGCTGTGTCCCAATACAATTTCATTTGTGGTACTGATGTTTGAATTTTATATAATTTTATATTGAAAATATTTCAATGTAAAATTTTAAAATATAAAATTATAAATTATATGTATCTTTCAATTACCTTTTCATTACTTTTTGGCAACTGCAAATGTTGCATGGATGGATAGATAGATAGATAGATAGATACATCATTAATTTATTCCCTAGATAAATACATGAATGGATAAATAAATAAAATATATCCAATCAAAATTGCCCACGAAATAGTTTTGTGTCTTCTCCACTGAGAATGTTCATCAGTTGAGATTGGAGATATTAATCTCCAATCCCAAGAGCAGCAGTTTTTCACTTGACACATTTATTTGAAAAATATGGTCCATATGGTTGTAGAGATAGTTACATGAACCAAGAGGAAAAGTATATTTATCTATGATTTGGCCTAATCTTAGAACTTCTGTATTGTTCTCAAGTTTTCAAACAAATAGAATTTTTTTTTTTTTTTTTTTTTTTTTGAGACAGAGTTTCACTCTTGTTACCCAGGCTGGAGTGCAATGGCGCGATCTCGGCTCACCGCAACCTCCGCCTCCTGGGTTCAGGCAATTCTCCTGCCTCAGCCTCCCGGGTCGCTGGGATTACAGGCACGCGCCACCATGCCCAGCTAATTTTTTGTATTTTCAGTAGAGACGGGGTTTCACCAGGCTGACCAGAATGGTCTCGACCTCTTGACCTCGTGATCCACCCGCCTCGGCCTCCCAAAGTGCTGGGAATACAGGCGTGAGCCACCGCGCCCGGCCCACAAATAGAATTTTCTTTTTAAAATTCCATCAGTGGACATATTCACGAACCTTTCTTAATGGGAGCATGTGTGTGGGTTGCATTATCTTTTGGTAATTGCGAATGTTGCATGTTGCTTTTTGTGTGTGTTTTCTGTGTGTAGCTAGAGAGATTGCAAGCTGAAAATACCTTGGAGTGGGACAAGAGGGAAATACTTGAAACAGAAAAGCAGGGACTGGAGAGAGAAAATAGAAGGCTGAAGATCCATGTGAAAGAAATGGAAGAGCTCTTGGATAAGAAAAATAGATTAAATGCAAACTCTCAAGGTCCTGATTTCAAGATGTCACAAATTGATCTGCAAGAGAAAAACCAGGTATGGGTGCTCCTTGGAGCACATTTTCACTGTCTAGGCTCACTCTGATGCCTATGCAGAGTCTGTCTTCACTTTTACGCACCTCCGCATCTGGATATTTCCTTTTGTGCTAGCTAATACCTGATACCCCTTGCTCTTTTGTCTGCTGGGATGTAAAATAATGTGATCATGCATCTGAAACAAAGTGTGTCAAATGTTAAAATATGACAAATCTTCAAACAGTTTCAAGATTTCCTAAAGGAAGAAAAATGAAGTAAAAAAATGGATCTTTCTGCTTTTTGTTCCCTATTAGAGCTTTGTCTCAGCATTTTCTAAGCTATTAATCTTATTTCCAATCAAGAGTTTTTCATTAATTCAAGCAACTATACAATAAGCATTTACTGGTAGCTAAGGTAAGTGTCTGCATAAACATTTACATTTAGCTGAAGCTCACTGTTTTCTGGTTCTTTCTTACTAAGTCTCAGAACAATTATTTTTTAGCTAATTAAATGCATCATTTTTCAAATACTTTTTCCAGCCCATGATATAAATGTTAAAACCAGGATAAAATTCAGAATTTGAATTTGGGAAACTTAATTTTGGATGTGTTTTATCCCCGAGCCAGTAGATGTAGTTTGTGCTATAGATCAACATTTTTTTGATAGTTTACAGATTTTTAAATGTGCTTTTAATGGCAGTCTTATAGTTGTAATTTGTGTGGTTGGTGTCAATATGCTGTAAATTATGTGTCTCTTGTTTCTATTTTTTTCAATTATATATATAGCATCTTAATGCACAATTCTGTTTTTTACTCAATTTCTTTGATAGTTTTAAAAGGTGAATTTGATAAGTTCATGTTTTTGAGATATATAAGTCATTCATACTCACATAAGCTCTAAAAGGTAAATGGCCAGAAAAATGGAATTCCATATTGTTCCCTTATTCTCTAATAAGGAAACATTGCACATGCAAGATCAAATTCTATTAGGGTTTCATGACCTGGCAATGCAAATTCTAAAGCTAAATGCTAGAGTAAGTAATCATAATTTTCTATTATACTGATTCTAAAACTATCTATAATAATGTATTTGATTCTGACATATGCACACTGATAAACCTGTAGACATCTTTTTGGAGATGTCTACTCTAAAAAGCACAGAATTATCTCAATTATGGAATGTGGTTTGATTATTAAAATACTTGTTTATTTGATTTATTTAAACAGGACAAACATGTATTCGCATTACTCTCTGTATCAGTCACTGTTCTATATGTAGGTAATGAGAATATTAATTACTGAATCATTATCCCTGCCCAGCATGAGATTAGAGTCTATACAGGGAGTCATACACATAAATTTTTATAAATAAAACATTATAATGATTGCTAAGAATAAAGTAGAAGGGACATAGATTAAGAAGCAATTGATTATATTTAATTTTGGTACCTTTTTAGTTATATCAAAATGTCATAATATAAAGTATATATTTCAGGAAAAATTAGGGTTGATTGATTGAAACCTGTTTGGAGCTGGCATTGGCATCACCTGTCATCAGGGCACACTGAGTCCTGAGCTGGTCTCTTTGACATCAGTATAGTTCTTTGGCATATGACTATGCAGAACTTGGAAACCGGGAGGATTCTGGAAGGTCTCATTTAAATCACATCAGTGGGTATGCTGATCACTTAGAAGACTGTAGGATTCTTTAAGTATATATCACTTAGATAGTGAGGGTGGTGTTGGTGATTTTTACCCTCTTTGTTACAAATTCAGACTATCTACTGGAACTAAAATAATCACTTATTTTGGAACAGTAGCAAGCCAGAATCCTTGGCGCAACAGGAATTTCTCCAGAAGCTCAAATGTCAAGATTATGGTGCCCTCAAATGTCAATGAATAAGAGCTGTGTACAGAACTTGCCAAAGTTCAGGGAATAATATAGATTTTATCATAACACAAAACCATACTGCAGTTTTAACATTATTTCAATAAGAATTAGTTTATACATATATAAGTACCATAGATGAATTATATATATATTATATATATGAATATATATAATATATTCATGGTATTCATCCATGGTACTTATATACATGTAAACATGTGTGTGTGTGTGTGTGTGTGTGTGTATGTGTGTGTGTATATATATATAATGTGTGAGTGTCATTTCTATATATGTATAGAAGTTCCATACATGAGTGAGGCAGTGAAAGAAGGTGTTAGCATGTAATGGGACATTCATGCAAACACTGCATGATTATTAGTCTCTAAAAAATATAAGACCACTTACTACATGACATTTGCATTTAAATCACATTTACCAAAGGTTTATGGCAGACATAAAACTACTGCCACTCATTAAGTAGTATTCATTAAGTAAATTCATTAAGTACTCATTAAGTAAAAAACCCCACATAAGTTTTTTAAAAATACGTTGGGTTTTAACATTCTTATTGTTCAATAAAATTTTTTAAGTCCCTATTAATTCAAAAAGGGAGGACTTTTCACATGGTTTTAGATTTGATTTTTTTTATTTCAGTGGTATAGAGAATGCACTGGTAAAGAAAATGCCTTTCAATCTTAAATTGCACTATTAATTCAAATAAATAATTTTCTTTACATAAGTAATCTTAACACCTAAATCTCCATCTAGTAGTTGCTTTTATATGCTATGCTTAAGGATATGTGTACATCATTCTTTTACAACTTAAAAAAATGCAGTAGTACATTGGAACTTTTAATGGATAGATTGGAAAATTACTACCCTGGTAGTAACTATTTTTTAAGCATAAACCAATATAGATTTTTCTAGAACAACATTGCATGTAGATCTTTTGATTTGCTGTTGCTCTTGTAAATAGTGGCACTGTTCCATGGTCTCATGGCATCAGCATAATTGACAAAATGACACCAGACAACAGAACTTCGGTGGCAGTATTGAGTGCTCTTCTCAGAATGAAGCCTGCATTTTAAATGATGGCAAAGATGTTTAAGAATTAGATTTGTAAAAAACATAAGTAAATCCAAGAGTATGCTTTAAGGAAGAGAAATGCAGCTACATTTGAAAGTCTGATTTCACAGCCAGTAGTAAATTATGTTACTGATGCTTGATCATTTAAATGTACATTTCCGTCCAACATTAAAAAATCCACCTGTCTTTATTGGATTAACTGATATGACTTAAAGTTTTTTCTTTAATGTCTTCAATACACTCAGAAAATGTGAATTCAAAATTTAAGCTATTTTACCATAATTTTTCTTAGTTTTCTTTCACAAGATCAAGGTAGCTAAAACCTTTAAGTATATTAAAAATTATAGTGGCATCGAAGGTGGGGTGTACATGTCACACTGTATTGTGGAAGAAATCTACTAACACTTTTTTTAGTTCTTGGTTTCTGAATCCCCATCTTATGTTTTATGATATATGTTAGTACAAAAGCTTATCTATACAACATAAATAAGTTAACATATTTAAAGGGTAAAAAATGGTAAGCCCATAACTTTATATAAACATAAAATGAACACATCAACTATATTATTTAACCCATTAGTTAATATAGAAACCAGTAAGTTATTGAAACCAGTTCAAAGGAGAATCTCAGTGTTATATAGCTAGGCACCCAATAATGCCGAGATGAATGTGCTTAATGGATGCAAAACTGGCTCTTCCATAGTAGGTGGGGAAGTAAATTGCACTATCACCAGATAACGTTGTCCCACAGGTTTCTGGACAAGACTCAGTTATATGGCCATGGATTATGTATAATAACATTACAGACTTTTGTGTAAAATAGCTTAATGATATCCACAGTTGCAGGACTTGTAGAATCAGAAAACCTTACCTGAGGAACGTGTTAGACACAACTACCAGGAATCTTTGTTGATCATTGCAAAGTGTTTTGCAATTCTTCCTGGCTATATAAGTTACTTGATGTGCATGTGTAATAAGTCTATATTTGAGTACATCAGCAAACACATGGGGAGTGTTATTCTAGACTAGGGATGGGCAAACTTTTTTTGTTAAGATCAAAATTATGAATATATTAAATTATTTAATTAAGGTACATAAGTCTCTGTGGCATATCATTTTGAAAAATCATAAGCCTTCAAACCATAGAGAATATTTCAGAGGTGGCACAGAAACAGGTGTGGAGCCAGATTTGGCTTATAGGTCATGGCTTGTTGCCTCCTGCTGTAGCCCAGTAGTCTCTAGGTTTACATGTACTGAAGGGGCCAAGAAGGAAAATGTGAGAGTTAGGTAAAGGGTGACAAAAGAAAACAGCACCTCTCCCTAGCTGGAGAGCAGTGCTTCACTGGAAAGCATTCATATCGAAAGTGCTAGAAACATTGTTCTGGCCACACAAAACCCACTGGGATAGGCTTTCCATCTGGGGTAGTAACCTAGGATAGACAGTCTACACTGAGCCATGGCAACTGTTTAAAAACAGTCAGCCACGCATCACTTTCTCTGTTTCTCAGCAGGATTTCAATTATTATACGGGTGCCTTTTTACTTGTCCTAGTTACCTTTATGGAACCAATTTTGTCTTACTGATTTCAGGAAACTCATTGCTACCTCCTGTGCATAGAGCAGGTGTACAAAGACTTTCTGAATGAAAATAAGTTGATGAACCATGACACATACATTTTAACCTGGAATATGTGGATGCTTATGCTATATTTATGCTGAGAATTTTAGCACAGTTTGAGAACGTAACTGGTGAGTCTTCAGAATGCAGCTGATCAGAAGACATTTCTCCAAAGGCCTTATTTGTAATTTGGAAACAAAAATCTGAGCATTTCCTAACATTGCCTATTCAAAAACCAGGGAAATTATAGTTTGAAAGTATGGAGGGTAAAGAAATTAACGTTAGAGATTTTTGTTTGAAACCAACCTGCTAGACACCGAGTTTAACTGCTACCAATATTTGTGCTTAGCTTTAATGGAGACATATGCAGATTAAAATAACCACTTAAAAGCTATTAAATATAAACAGAAATGTCATTAAAATCAATCA